TGACATCATAATGTGTACTTATTCAGTGAATTATGCAGTTGTTCTAGAAATGTAATATTTCAAATCATACAAAACATCATGGTAGAGCTCTATATCTTATATAATAAACTGAAGAGATTTATACTTAATTTTGTGGTATGAAAGAAGAAAAATCATATTTTAATATAATGCTAATAAAAATAGCTTGATTTTCTTTTTATTCCATGTATATATCAGTGTCTAAGTATTATCCCCTTATATAAATGTCATGTTTTCTACTTTAAGAATTGTGAGATTAGTGCCATAGTGCAGTTAAAATAACTGACAATTACAAAAGTAATAAAACAAACATAAAGTAAAAAGTATTAGCAATAATTATTAAATTAATAATTTTTAAGAAGAAATTCCCTTCTGTTGTTATTTAAACAACTGATATCTCTATGAATGATTCATTTTAATGATAGTAACTGCCATTAAAACAAAAGGAAATACAGTTAGTTGAAAATGTATTGATTAAATTTTCCTTGATTGTTCATAATAAAGCTAATATTTAACTTATTTCATATCTTCTTTGGTTGATTTCTATTTACAAGAAAACTGTGCTAGAAATTGTTGGAACTACAATAAAATCAAAGTCCCTACCCCACCTGTCTATGATCTTATAATTAGAGACTTATAGCCATAATATAACATAATCAGAAATAATGCCAATTTAAGGCAGCATATGACAAATTTGACAAATTCCATGTAGGTGATGCATATACAACAAATATGCAGTATTGGATATATATGTATATGTGTGTATGTATAATTTATTAAAATAATAAAAAGCTTTTAAAAATCTCTTAAATGAACCAATAATTAAAACAAAGCTCACAGGTACCAAATCCTGGTCTCTTTTGAGAGAAGGAACTTCCACTTATCTATGGCTAATCAGACATGAATAAGAATAATATGCTTCCATTAATAGAGTATTTTCAGTATTCTAAACCTTGAAGAAATAGCATTATGAACCCTAACACATCGATTCTTACAACTTGGCTAAGCAGTGATTAATATCTCCACTTTCAGATGACAGGGTGGAGTTGTGACAGTTAAGTTACTTGCCAGAGTCTGATATAGTTAAATGGCCAAGCAAGGAGTAAAATCCAGTCTTGTGTGACTCCTACAATCATAGTTTTTCATTGTGCCTCACTGGCTTGAAGAATCAGTCCTCAAACTACGAACTTTCAGGGAGGCAGAAACTCATCTATTCTTCAATGAACTTTTATATTCCCCTAAATAAGCTTTTAAGTATAT